AACACAAAGGATTGGGACACAACTTAAGTGATAAGGTCCTAAAAGGAAGAAAGCAATCATCAGTCAATCTATCATCACTAAGTGATTAAATAAATTCTGTACATCAATAATGTATAGTATAGGGGCTGGGAAGGTGGCTCAGTGGTAGAGTGCTTGTCTTGCATACATGAGGACCTGAGTTCGATTCCTCAGCACCACATAAGCAGTAAAAGCTGGAAGCAGCGCTATGGCTCAAGTGGTAGAGTGCTAGCCTTGAGCTGAAGAGCTGAGGGACAGCGCCCAGGCCCAGAGTTCAGGCCCCACGACCAACCAAAAAAAAAAAGTATAGTACAGTACAGTGCTCTGGGATTCTTAAAATGATGTTATATCCATCATAATGTTCAACACTGGGCAACTTTCATGTTTTATGAAGCAAACAGCAAGATATTTAGCATTCTGGATGAGATCCCATTCAATTATTTTGTAAGTTGGTCTATAGTGAATACATTTTTTTACAATGTAAAAGAAATTAACACAAATTATGCAAATTACAAGAATAAGTCACCATTGCTGAGAATGATACCTCATGTCTGTAATCCTGGCACTCAGGAGACTGAGGGAGAACTGTGAGTTCTAAGTTAGCCTAAGCTACATTAAAACTCTCTCACCACTTCCCCCAACCCCCAAAAAATGAATAAATGACCTTTGTAAACCTGTTCTTCCCTTGCCTAACTAAACCAGAAATACCTACTAAAGGATTATTGACTAATTGTGCCATGGGATTGTTTCCCCATCTGGGAGCTTTGGATGCCTGTTCTTTCAGTTAATCTCACTGGATTTCAGGTTGTCTTACACTCAGAAGATGTTGCAAGGCCACGCTGGGCAATGTAATTTATGTTACCTCCAGGTCACAAGCTCCATTTAATACATGTGAACTGGAGATCTCTTGGCTTGAAGCACATAGCTGTGTGCAGACACAGATGACAACCAGTGCCTCTAATTGTGGTTACTTGTTAAAGAGTCTAGAACCCAAATATAGTTTCTTGGGCCCTCATATACCTTTTTTTGGGGGGGGAAGGGAGGGTGGTTGTGGGTCTTGAACTCTGGACCTGGGCGCTGTCCTTCAGCTCTTCAGCTCAAAACAAGTACTCTACCACTTGAGCCACTTCTGGCTTTTTCTGTTTATATGGTGCTGAGGAATCAAACCCAGGGCCTCCTGCATGTGAGACAAGCATTCTACCACTGAGCCACCTTCCCAGCCCTCATATACTTTCTTGAGCAACTTATCCTTAAGTTTAAGATAGGAATGTGGTTTTGAAGAGAAGCAAGGTGAGCTTCCCACCTTGGGAAGCCTGATTATAATACTCTGCTCTGTGAACTGCAGCAGGAACCTGAATTTCATTTCACAGCTCCATAAAACCTTCTCCCAAGCCTCCCTTTTCAGGTTTCATGGCCCTCCATGGAAATAAAAGCCTGTGCAACTGCAGAACACAAATGATTAGAGCAGAAAACAGTGAGAAGACATTTAGCCACTCCCACATGGTAGAGCTCCAGTTAAAAGAGTGAAACCATGCCCAGGGCCTGCGTCTTGGTTCTCCGGGACTCCTCTTTGGCTCTGCTTCCAGATGGGGCCCAAGGAGAGCCAGTGCCCTACCAGAGGCTCAAAGAACCTCCTCATGGAATGCCTCTCTCGCCACTCAGCACAAGCCTGATGCCTGGCTGACGGGAGATGGCTCCACTGGAACATTCTATATAAGGGTTGAAAGGTGGTGGTGGTGGTGGTGATGATGATGATGAATTTAAACAGTCACATTTAAATAAGCCTTAGGACCTTTGCGTACCAGCCCGGACCTTCCCCCATGAAAGTTTCAGGAGTATTCAAGAGATGAATAAAGTAGGCCCAAGTACATCAGTAGTGGGAGCCCCAGAAGTGCTTCTATAAGGGCCTCACCAAGCACTTTGCATAAATCATCCAGGAATTAGCACAGCAAAGAGGCAGCCAAGTGAGGAGATCTAAGCATAGAGACAAGTAACTTACCGAGTTCACAGTGCCCGTTATCCTGCCTTTTTCTCCCTCCATTATTGGAGCTTGAACTCAGAACCTTGCCCTTGTTGGGAAGATACATTGCTATCCAGTCACAGTCCAGCCCTGCACTGGACAAGGTATGGCCTTGTTATATGGCCCAGACTAGCCTCAAGCTTATAGTCCTCCTGCATCATCCACTCCAGTGCTGGGATTACAGGAGTACCAACTGGTGCCTGTCCATGAACTTTCTGCAAGGGAGAACAGGCAGAGAACAGGCAGCCAGGCTTCAGGACTGATTTCCCAGAGAGCTGGAATTTTAAAGGGCCTCTGGAAGGCTCAATAGTAAATTGTTAGATTTCTCTCAACCATTTTCTTAAAGCTTTCTATAAATCTTATGTTATACTTGAAACATGTGAGCTCTAGATTTGTGTTTGATTTAAATTTAGTGCCAAGTCTGAGAGCATTTCTTAATTGGAATTGGGCCTGTTTGGTGCAGATTGCAGTATCTGGCAATCTGCCCACTTCTCACTCCCACAAACAGGTTGAGTGAGGACAGAGCAGTTGAGGTGTTGGTTAGTAGTTCCACTCCCTGGGAATTCAGTCAGCTGAAACACCGTTTTACCTTGCCCTTGGACTGACTGATGCTTGCAACCCAGTAATTGAAATGCTAAGCTCTAGTTATCCCGTATGGAGACCACACTGGACCTCCCCAGACTCTCTCACTTGCCCCACATTCTACTCTTCATAGAGCAAGCTCCCCGGCCTTCCCTGACTCACACAACACATGCGATCAGAGACTCAGAGATTGCTAGGGGAGGCTTGGGGAAAAGAGTAGAGATGGAAGGGTTTGGTGGCGGGGGTGGGGTGGGGTGGGGGGGCGTGGTAATAGTGATGGTGATGCTGATGGTAGTAGTAGTAGTGGTTGGTTTGTGTTATAGTTGATTTGGTGTCCAAATCAGAGCATCCTTTGACCTTAAGAGGTTGGAGACAAGGGACTGTGTAGTTAAAGATTATGCAGTATTAAGATGAGACAAAGGAAAGAAAAGTAGACAGTATAGAAATTAGTGACATAGCCGGGCACTGGTGGCTCACGCCTGTAATCCTAGCTACTCAGGAGGCTGAGATCTGAGGATCGCAGTTCAAAGCCAGCCCGGGCAGCAGAGACCGTGAGACTCCTATCTCCAATAAACCACCAGAAAACCGGAAGTGGTGCTGTAGTTCAAGTGGTAGAGCGCTCGCCTTGAGCTGAAGAGCTGAGGGACAGCGTCCAGGCCCAGAGTTCAGGCCCCACGACCGACCAAAAAAAAAAAAAAAAAAGAAATCAGTGACATAGCTGAGGCTCCAGACTCCTTGTAGGGAGAAAGAAGTCTAAAAGATGATTGTGCTGGTGAGCCAGTGGCTTGTACCTATAATCTCAGGAGGCTAAGATTTGAGGATCACGATTTGAAGCTACCCTGGGCAGAAAAGTGTTTGAAACTGTTATCTCTAGTTAATCACCAAAAAGCTGGAAGTGGAGCTGTGGCTTGAGCAGGGGCACTAGCCAGCAAAAAAAGCTCAGGAACAGCATCTGAGCCCTGAGTTCAAACCCTAGGACTGGCACACATACACACACAATAATAATTTTTTAAAAAGATGAATCATGGGCTGGGAAGGTGGCTCAGTGGTGGAGCGCTTGCCTTGCATGCCTGAGGCCCTGGGTTCGATTCCTCAGCACCACAGAAGCAGAAAAATCTGGAAGTGGGGCTGAGGCTCAAGTGGTAGAGCGCTAGCCTTGAGCTGAAGAGCTGAGGGACAGTGTCCAGGCCCAGAGTTCAGGCCCCACGACCAGACCCCCCCAAAGAAATAAATAAATAAAAAGATGAATCGTCAGTCATGCAGTAAGCTAAATTTAAATAAAACCTTGGGTGGATGGAGCAGGAAGAAGCCTTTTAGGCTGGGAATTTAAGGGTCTCAAGCACTTGGAAAATGATCTAGAAGGGAGTCAGAAGGGCCTTGTCAATTGTGGCAAGCAGGATAAAGCCAGGTTGCTATGCCCTGGCCTCCTAGCAGTGCCTGACTAGCTGTACGACCTCATCAGGTTTTCCTGACTTCATATATGGTCTTCCTGTTCTTTCTGCTCCTAAAGGCCTTTAACTCAGAGGCCTTCAGCTTTCCAATTGCCCCTGAGTGTTTTAGTTTTGTTTTTTTGTGATGTTGGGGGTAGGACTCGGGACTCTGAATGTATTAGACAAGTGCTTTACCACTGAGCTTGGTTTTTTGAGGTAGGCTCTTGCTGTGTAGCCCAGACTTGTTGCAATCACAGTCCTCCTGCCATAGCCTCCCAAGTACTGAAATAACAGATGTGCACTACCAAGCCTAGTGTCCCTGCGATTCTGTGGGTACCAGTGGTACCCAGAATGTGCCTTCGTTGGAGAGGAGGCCCAAAGTTTGGCTGGAAGAAGGATTAGCTGGTATGGACCCAAATGGCTCCTGTCTGCCCACAGGAGCGGGGCTGAGATTAGAGGAGGCCTCCTGGGCCAGGGCTGCTTCATTCTGGAGCATCAGGGCAATGACTGTCCACCCTCTCTGTCAGTGTCGCCAGCACACTGGGTTTCTGTGCCCCGGTTTCTTTTTTTTTTTGGGGGGGTCCGGTTGTGGGGCCTGAACTCTGGGCCTGGGCACTGTCCCTCAGTTCTTCAGCTCAAGGCTAGCGCTCTACCACTTGAGCCGTAGCGCCACTTCCGGCTATTTTCTTTTTGCTTATGTGGTGCTGAGGAATCGAACCCAGGGCCTCAGGCATGCAAGGCAAGCGCTCTACCACTGAGCCACCTTCCCAGCCCCATGGTTTCTTTTCTTGTTTGTTTATCTTGAGGGGAGGAAGATGGGTGATAAGGGTCAGACCCCAGATATTACCCCTCTACCTCTGAGCTGCATCCCAGCTCCTGTGCCTCAGTTTCTTTGGCTTGAGTTCATATTTTGGATGGCAATAAAACGACTCCTTTTCCTTTATCCACAGAGATGCTACAGTTTGTCAGCAATCAAGTGGGAGAGTTCCCTGACTTGTTTTCAGAGCAGCTTTGTAGCTCCTTTCCTGGTGGTGGTGGTGGCGGCGGCGGCGGCGGCAACAATGGCAGCAGTGGCAGCAGTGGCAACAGCAGCACTGGCAGGAGCAACAATGGTGGAGCTGTGGACCCCTCAATACAACGGTCATTCAGCCAAGTTCCGTTGCCTTCCTTCTCTCCCTCAGTCACCTCCCCTCAGGCTCCAACCCTGCAGGTCAAAGTCCCTTCTACCCCAGTGCCCACCCCACCAAGAGCAACGCCTGTTCTCCAGCCTCGGCCCCAACCCCAGCCCCAGCCTCCAGCTCAGCTGCAGCAGCAAACAGTGATGATCACCCCAACATTTAGCACTGCTCCACAAACCAGGATCATCCAGCAGCCTCTGATATACCAGAATGCGGCCACCAGCTTCCAAGGTGAGTCATGAGTCTGCGTGGTAGGTGTAGGGCTGGCCTGGTAACAAAAGATAGAGGCTGGGATAATAATATCAGGCCTAAAATTTGCCTGGGCAGCAGCCAGATCTGAGCACCCTCAGTTGAGAGCCATTCATTCGGCAAACAGCTCCCTAGTTCCCCTGCAGAGACAAGTCCAACTTTGCAAATTGGCCCTGCATCTCTGAGAAGCAGGCCCTCAGCATGTGTTAGGGAGTGAGCAACAGAAGTGCTGCTGCTTTCTGGGGTGCCTGCATCCCAAGGGCTGTGGGGAGCCTGAGTGGGATGCAGCTTGATCTGAATTTGAAAGACTCTTAATAGTTCCTCTATGGGCTTTGAGGATTTGTTGGAGGGTAAAGGCACAAAGCTGAGATATGCCCATGGCACACTTTCCATCCAGAAAGGATGGAAGGAAATGAAGCTCCAGAGAATGGTTGATTTCCAGCATCTATTAACTCTATTGCTGGGTGCAGTCATTTGTTGACTAACTTCCCTTACCCCCACCCCAGCACCCAGAGTAATAAAACAATGTGTACTCGTTCCTTCAGACATGGAAGCAGCCCTTATGGGAGGTTCTTATTCCCTAAACCAGCTTGCAAATGGCTGTGCACATCCTGGGCAAGCGGGTAGGGGGTTGGCATCGTTATGAGACGCTCCATCCTTGGAACTACAGCAGTAGCATGCATTCCTCACCCATGTCCCCTCTTCTCTTCTCCTCCCAAGTCCTTCAGCCTCAAGTGCAAAGCCTGGTGACATCCTCCCAGGTCCAACCGGTCACCATTCAGCAGCAGGTGCAGACCATACAGGCCCAGCGGGTGCTTACACAAACAGCTAATGGGACGCTGCAGACCCTCGCCCCTGCCACAGTGCAGACAGTTGCTGCGCCCCAGGTGCAGCAGGTCCCGGTAAGGTGGCCAGAGAGGATTCAGGGAGGAACTGGTCAGGGTAGTTACCTGGCCTTCTTTGGTGGAAAATACAGTCTGCAGAAAAAATGTTTTATGTTTTATATCATAGCATATGGACTGTATTTTACTTATTTATGTGGCACAAACAAAACAAGATGGGTTTACCTTTTTTTTTTTTCTTCTCTGTCCACAAATCAGTCTCTCTCCCTGGACCATCCACCCACAGTGACGTACCCCTGCTTTAGTCCTGACAACCATTAACTGTCCTTCTTGATGCCTTAAGATTAAAGACTCCCTTTTAGCATCTTTTTTGTTGTTGTTATTGGTCATGGGGACTGACTCTGGGCTTGGGCACTGTTCCTGAGCTCTTCAGCTCAAGGCTAGCACTCTGTCATTTGAGCTATAGCACCGCTTCTGGCTTTTTCTGTGTATGTGGTGCTAAGGAATCGAACCCAGGGCCTCATGCCTGCAAGGCAAGCACTCTACCACTGAGCCACCTTCCCAGCCCTCCCTTTAACATCCTTTCTGCTCTCCTCAACTCAGTATTTGGATTGTAGCAAATAGCTAGCTTTTGAAGGGATTTTTTTTTTTTTTGGTTGGGCGTGGGGCTTGAACTCTGGGCCTGGGCGCTGTTCCTCAGCTCTTCAACTCAAGGCGAGCACCCTACCACTTGAGCTACAGCGCCACTTCCGGTTTTCTGGTGGTTTATTGGAGATAGGAGTCTCACGGTCTCTGCTGCCCGGGCTGGCTTTGAACCTCGATCCTCAGATCTCAGCCTCCTGAGTAGCTAGGATTACAGGCGTGAGCCACCAGCACCCGGCTTGAAGGGATTTTTATGAGATTTTTCTGGCAACTTTTTTATTCTCAGTTTCATGAAAATTCCATTTGCTTATTCTTTCTTGGAGGGTCTCTGTGGTAAGAAGCAAATACAAAATAAGAAAAACATTGCTTAACTTAACATTTTATATTGAAGTATAAATATTACACCCCTCTCCCAAAAAAAAGAAAAATAATTCTGCTTCTTTTTATACCTTTCTCTACAGGTCCTGGTCCAGCCTCAGATCATCAAGACAGATTCCCTTGTTTTGACTACACTGAAGACAGATGGTAGCCCTGTGATGGCGACCGTCCAGAACCCAGCCCTCACTGCCCTCACCACCCCCATCCAGACAGCCGCCCTTCAAGTACCAGTAAGAGCGCTTCCTTCCCCTCCTCTCCTCCTTCCACTTCTACCTGCTGAGAAAGAGTTGGGAAATTGTGAATTCCACCCCACTTTTAGCTTTTTTTTTTCCCTTGAAGGAGTACTGCTATGGTTTGTTAGATGGCAGTCTTGTGATCTGTATGAGATGGGAAAACATACCAGAGGAGTCCTGTTCCTGGGCAACAGCTCCATACGGGACCATCACCTCTTTGCTGATGGAGATTTGGCTTGTATAGGATGTTAGACAGGGAGGGGTGTCAAGGTAAAGATGTGGAAGTCACCAACACTCCAGTCATAGGTCTCAGCCATTTTTAGCATCATGAGACAAGAGTCTGATGGAGAAAAAAGTAACTAAATTCAGAAGCACTAGCTTTATTCATACAAGAACTGGGAGCAACCCAAATGTCCATCCACATAAGAATAAATAACTTACACTCATGAAAATGCCAGCCAGGCACTGGTGGCTCATCCTTGTAATCCTAACTACTCAAGAGGCTGAGATCTGAGGATCACAGTTAGAAGTCAGCTCTGGCAGGAAAGTCCATGAGACTAATCTTCAGTTAGCCAGCAAGAAGTCAGAATTGGAAGTGTGGCTCAAAGGGTAGAAGTGTGTGGGTACTAGTCATAAGAGAAAAAGCCAAGCGAGAACATTAAATAAGGAAAGTTAAATAATTGAAGGTACCCCACAATAAGAAATAATGCGTGAAACAACATGGTCCAACCCCCAAAATGATATGGAGCAAAGAAGCCCTTCACAGAAGAGTTCATACCAGTGATTCATTAATATGAAGATCAAGAAGAGACTGTGGTGAAAGCAAGAACTTTCCTAACGCGAGAGGCTATAGCTTGGCCCTGTGGTTTTTACATGTTTATTCATATGTAAAACCTCATCAAGGCCTATAGTTAGAAAATGTGTAGCTTTTATCATCTGTGACTTATTTCTTAATGACTAATGATATTGAACAACCCTTTATTTGTTTATTGGCCATTTGAGTATTAAAGCCATTTATTGAAGAAAATAAAACTAAAATTATTAAACATAGAAACAAAGAAGGAAAAGAGAAATGAGGAAAAGAAGGGGGAGCCTCTATGGTTGGTGTAGTCATTTGATAAAACGGCTCTGACTGAGAGTGTTAGTTTTGCCCTTGAGCTTTCTGAGGCTGAATTGTAGAAAGAAATGCAATAGTTTACTTGTCATTTGTAAGAGAGGAAAAAAAAATGTGTCCCAGGCCAAGAGAAAATTTTCTCCATTGCCAACTAAGTATGGTTCACTCAGCGTGGTTCAGAGACAATTGGACAGCAAAATAAAAATAACTTGTTTCTGGTATCTATTAGATCAAAAGTTAAGAGCTATTTAGGCAAACTAATCCTTTGGTGGTGTAATGTATTGACAGTGATTGTAAAAAGAGATAATAGCTGAAGTGAGTCCCGAGCTTCTTTAGGCCTGACTTCACTAGCCCAAGAAGGGTCTTAGACTGCACAAAGCATTGTCAGCTGAGGCCCTGAGGTCAGGAGCAAGCCAGTTTGTGCTGCGAGAGTGCTTTGCTTTATGAAGACTAACAAAGGAATAATTCTCCCCTTGTGTTAGACGTTGGTGGGCAGCAATGGGACCATTCTGACCACAATGCCTGTGATGATGGGGCAAGAGAAAGTACCCATTAAACAGGTGCCTGGGGGAGTCAAGCAGCTAGAGCCGCCGAAAGAAGGAGAAAGGCGGACCACACACAATATCATTGAGAAGCGGTACCGCTCCTCCATCAACGACAAAATCATTGAGTTGAAGGATCTGGTCATGGGAACAGATGCTAAGGTGAGTGCCAAGCATGCCCTGCTCTTCTGCCTACTGTCCCAGGATGTGTGTGTGTGTTTGTATTCCAGTACTGGGGCGTTGAACTCAGGGCCTTGAACTCTCATTCTGCTTTTTCACTCATGGCTGGCACTGTACCACTTGGGCCACATCTCCAGTTCTGGCTTTTTGCTGGGTAGTTAGAGATAAGATTCTGATGGATTTGTCTGTCCAGACTAACTGGATTCCTCATATCTCAACCTACTGAGTAGCTAGGATTATAGGTGTGAGCCTCTGGCATCTGGCAAAGAGGTGCTCATTAAAGTATCTTGATATTTGTCAGGATTACAAAATATTAACTAATGTAAGGGGACGATGGGGAGAGTTGGTAAACTAGTGACCTACCGGGACCTTTGACTCCTTTGAGCTCTACTGAGAGAGTGGCCAGTGGCCATGTACAGGACTGTGTGTACTTGGAGGCAGCTGAAGTTATTGCTAATATATTTTTAGCTGCATTCACAGGTGGGTAGCAGTATTTTTACCTTTTATGGAAGAGGAGAAAGAAAGTAGAGGTTGGGTCTTTGACCAAAAGTAAACAGGAAGTTGAGTTTTCTTGTGTTTTGGTGAATGCATCTAGCAAATGGGAATGGTTTTTGTTTTGTTTTACCTAGTATCTGTTTCATGTCAACTCTATTTTGAAAGAAAGTTTCATTTTCCCAGTAACCTACAAATCTATAAAGCATATATTTTAAGCAAAAAATATATACCATTATTTATATAACTTTCTAATAATACTCTGGGTTGGTGGGTTGGTTGTTTTACAGTGCTAGGGGTGTAACTGAGGATTTCTTCCAGGATAAGTAGGTGCTCTACCACTAAGCCACAGCTCTATCCCAATACTCTGATTTTTGTTTCTCTGTCAATCATTGTTTTCCTTAAATATTGTTTTGTGTTTGCTGAGTGTTGTTGACTCTCAATTGTAATCCTAGCTACTCAGGAGGCTACTCCAAGCTAGGAAAGTCCATGAAACTCTTACTTCCAATAAACTACTCAGGAAGAGCAAAAAATGTCACTGTGGCTCGTGGTAGAGTACTAGCCTTGAGCAAAAGAAGCTCAGGGACAGCACCTAGGCCCTAAGTTCAAAGCCCAGGATCAGCACCAAAAAAAATTAAGGGCTGGGAAGGTGGCTGAGTGGTAGAGTGCTTGCCTTGCATGCATGAGGCCCTGGGTTCCATTCCTCAGCACCACATAAACAGAAGAAGCCGGAAGTGGTGCTGTGGCTCAAGTGATAGAGCACTAGCCTTGAGCTGAAGAACTAAGGAACAGTGCCCGAGCCCAAGTTCAGGCCCCATGACTGACAAAAATAATAATAATTTAAAAAAAGAAAAAATATATATCGTTTTCTGCTAATATAATTATAAGCAGTAGCAATATTTATTGTGTTGGTTATGTGCCAAGCTCAAAGCTAAACTTCACACATACTCTCATTTAGTCCTCACTGCCAACCTGTGATTTAGGTGTTTTTGTTATTCTCATGTTAAAGAAAAGGAAAAAACTTTAGTGATAAAGAATTACGTAGTCCAGATAGTCAGCATTTAAACCTTAAGTCATGCTCCCCATCCACAAGCTCAGGGGCTCCATTCAGCCTGAACCGGTTTTATAGTATTTCACTCATCTTCTTTCTCAGATGCACAAGTCTGGTGTTCTGAGGAAGGCCATTGATTACATCAAATACTTGCAGCAGGTCAATCATAAACTTCGTCAGGAGAATATGGTGCTGAAACTGGCAAATCAGAAAAATAGTAAGTATGCTTGTTGGGAAATGGCTGTCAGACCTTCCAGGTGTGTGAGAAGCCTCAGACGGGCACTAGTGAGGGCCCACAGATGTGTTCAAGGTCCAGCACTGGCCCAGTCCAGGAGGTTTTTTGGTTTGTTTTTTTTTTTTTTTTTTGCAGAATTCTTGAAGGGTATTGACCTAGGCAGTCTTGTGGACAGCGATGTGGACCTAAAGATTGATGACTTTAATCAGAATGTCCTGCTGATGTCTCCCCCGGCCTCCGACTCTGGGTCCCAGGCTGGCTTCTCTCCCTACTCCATAGATTCTGAGCCAGGAAGTCCTCTGTTGGACGATGCAAAGGTAAGGCTTTTGAAATTTCCTATTCTTTGAAATTTCTCCATTTCCCTTAAGAAAATAGTGGGAGACCATAGAGAAGTGGCCAAGCCAGGGCTCGGGAGGAATGGGAATTCTGTGAAATTATCTAGGTCCCAAAGGATAAAGAAAGAGGAAACTGGGGTTGGGAAGGTGACTCAGTGATGTAGAGTGCTTGCTTCGCATGTATGAGGCTCTGGGTTCAATTCCTTAGCACCACATAAGCAGAAAAAGTTGGAAGTGGCCCTGTGGCTCAAGGGGTAGAGTACCAGCCTTGAGCTGAAGAGCTGAGGGACAATGCCCAGGCCCAGAGTTCAGGCCCCACAACCAACAAAAAAGAAATAAAGGGGAAACTAACCTTGTATGGTAACCTACACCTGTATTCCCAGCACTCAAGAGGCTGAGGTAGGAGAATTACAAGTTTGAGGCTGCCTGGACTTGTAGAAAGAAAAGGGAAGTGTGGGGAGGGGGAAAGGAAGGCTAGGGGGCAGGAAGGAAGGAAGGGAGGGAGAGATAGAGAGAGAGAGAAAGAGAAAAAATATGGAGAAGGAAAATGATAGAAGAGTTGAGGTTGATCAAGGTAAATGTTAGCATGCATGACATGTCAACATGAAATTACCAGCTGGGCACTGGTGGTTCATGCCTGTAATCCTAGCTACTCAGGTGGCTGAGAGCTGAGGATTAAGTTTCAAAGCCAGTCTGGGCAGGAAAGTCCCGAAGTGGAGGTGTGACTCAAGGGGTAGAGCACCAACCTTAAACAACGAAGCTAAGGCACAACACCCAAGCCCTGAGTTCAAGCTCCAGTCCTGGTGCATGTGTGTGTTAGTGTGCGTGCATGCACACGTACACACACAAATATATACAAACAATTGTACAAATAATTGCTGCAGATAAATAAACACACACACAAAGGAAAAAACTGACTAGAGGGTGAGATGACTGACAGAACTCACTGTTCTCAGGTCTAACTGGTCCTTGCTAAAAGTCTTGAGGGCCCATCAGAGAAGAATGAGTGCCAGCTATAGAATGAGGACAGAAGGGCTTTGGGAGTTGCTGGAGACGCCTCATTACCTCCTTTGTCTGAAATGGGCTTGGCGGACCGCTTTGTGAGGCTGATCAGTTGGTTTAGGATGAGGCTACCTTGGGTCCTCTTTCTGGAAATGACTAAATTTGAAATCTTCACAGATAACATTCCAACCAAGGGCTTTAAATTGTTTAAAAAGAAGAGGGAAAAAAAAAACTTTCGGCAGTTGAGGCTAAATGGAATTAGTTAAAAGAGGCTCTGAGCTTAATGTGTCCCTGGCGACTTTGGAGACCATTGGGTCCCATATTGTATTTTCACATTCCAGTTTCCAACTCCAAAGCATAGTTTCATCCTAGTGTTTTTTTGTTTGTTTTGTCAGTGCTGGGGCCTGAACTCTGGGCCTGGGCGCTGTCCCTCAGCTCTTCAGCTCAAGGCTAGCACTCTACCACTTGAGCCACAGCTCCACTTCCGGCTTTTTCTGCTTAAGTGGTGCTGAGGAATCAAACCCAGGGCCTCATGCATGCAAGGCAAGCACTCTATCACCAAGCCACCTTCCCAGCCCCTAGTGTTTGTTTTTGGCCAAGCTATGTATTGTATCATTTACTTGCTTTTACTAAGGAGGTTCTATTTTTGAAATGTTTTATAAATGTGATTCTGTTTGGTAACAGCAGACCATATGACATATAATTTTAATTGCTAGGCTTCTGAGTCATCCAAAGAAATTTTCAGTTAGTTTTAAAATATTAGGAATGACATTGTTCATATCAAGGCTCAGGGACAGTCTGGGTCTAGTCTTCCTTCCTTATGGCTGCCAGGCCATGGGCTGCCAGGCCTTTGCCTCTCCTCTCTGTAAAGTGGGAGAAGAAAAAGCAGTGTTCAGGTGTTAGAGGCATGGTGAGCCATGGTAGAGAGCTAGCCAATGAGCTTTTTTGGTTTTTTTTTTTGTCCGTCGTGGGGCTTGAACTCGGCCTGGGCGCTGTCCCTCAACTCTTCAGCTCAAGGCCAGCCCTCTACCACTTGAGCTACAGCGCCACTTCCGGTTTTCTGGTGGTTTATTGGAGATAGGAGTCTCATGGTCTCTCCTGCCCGGGCTGGCTTTGAACTGCGATCCTCAGATCTCAGCCTCCTGAGTAGCTAGGATTACAGGCGTGAGCCACCAGCGCCCGGCTGCCAATGAGCTTTTTAAAACAACAGCTACTGAGTTCCAGTGAATGTTCAGGTCTTAAAAGAAGCAAACTCAATTAGGTAGATCCATGCTAAAACATTGTCTTTTGTCATCCTTACTGAGGTATATTTAAAAGCAATAAAATATGCCTATTTTAACTATGCAGTGCCAGGAGTTTTAACATGTGGGTGCACCTATGTAACTGTTACTATAATCAAGATGTGGCGCATTTCCATCATCCCTAAGAACTCTTTCAACACCTCTGCAGATATTCACACACCTCTCTCCAACCTCGAGCACCTACTAATGTGAAGGCTTCCAATCACTTAGCTTCCTTTCACCTCATCTAGAATTACAAAGAAACCAAATCCTGCCTTGTGTTCTCTTTTATTATAGGGAGATGCACTTTAAAAGAAAGTTTCTCTGCCTTTTGTCTTTGGAACATGTGCTTTGCTCTGTCCGGGATAGGAATAATGCTACCAGTGTTTTAGCAACAGATTGTAAATTGTGGACTTGTTAGTTCGTTCCTGGCTTTCTTCCTATGTGACTTAAGTCTTGAACTTAAGCCTTCTAGTCTGTAGAAACCCATGAAGTAATCATCCTAACCTTGAGGCTCTGTTTCGAAGGTCAAAGATGAACCGGACTCTCCTCCAGTAGCGCTGGGCATGGTGGATCGCTCTCGAATTCTGCTGTGTGTCCTCACATTCCTGGGTCTCTCTTTTAACCCACTGACTTCCCTGCTGCAATGGGGAGGGGCCCACGAGGCTGACCAGCACCCATACTCAGGCTCTGGCCGCAGCGTGCTCTCATTTGAATCGGGTAGGTTGAGGAGGGAATGGTAGGATGTTGTGGTAGGGGCAGGCTGCCATGTGCAAACCACGTGGCTGTTCACTTAGTTCCAGAGTGGCTCCTGCCTGCTTGCTTCTGACAGAGGCAACAAGGCAAACCCAAGTCAGGAAGAGCAAAACAAATCAGGATTCCATTATTGTTTCAAATATCCTGGGCAAGGGGAGTGGTAAAGAAGAGAGTGGAGCCAGTTAAAGGAAGGATGCTGTGATTTTCCCCTGAATTGTGAGCTGCCCCTCTTTAGGTTCTGTGGGCTGGTTTGACTGGGTGATGCCAACTCTCCTGCTGTGGCTGGTAAATGGTGTGATCGTCCTAAGCGTCTTTGTGAAGCTGCTGGTCCACGGGGAGCCTGTGATCCGGCCACACTCCCGCTCCTCTGTCACCTTTTGGAGGCACCGGAAGCAGGCAGACCTGGATCTTGCCAGGGTAAGTTCTGTCTCTGCCATTTTTCATCACTGAGTTTGGCCAAGAACTCAGCAGCTGGTGTTGAGGCCCAGAGTGGATGAAGTCCTGTGTCAGGCGCTTTGGTGACAGAGAGGAGAAAGTGACCCTCTGTCTGAACAGCTGCAGGACAGTGGAAAGAGCACCTATTGCTAGATCGTGCATGGACATGAGATCTTTCTTCTGGGTTATGACAGTTTCTGCCGTGGAAATTTGATGCAGAGAGATGGGTTTTGACTGAGGGGGTGGAGGATAGGAATGAGACTCTACAAATCACATAGGATAGGAAGGCACAGAGAAGGGCCTTCCAGGTGGCAGGGTCATACGTGGGGTGTGTGGGGACTAGAAAGTTTGATGGGTATATGTTGGGAGTAAGATACGTTGGAGAGGGATGAGAGTAAAGATAGTAATGTAGGTAGGCCTAAATTGGAGCAAGGGTGACTCCTACTGACTTAGGGCTTTCTTTCCGATTCTCTAGAAAACCAGACAAGGTTTTGAGCTGGAAAATTAGCTGAAAGCTTTCATGTGAAATCAACAAGGGAAATTTATGGGAAGGATTCTTTGGCAACTCACAGCCCTGAAAGAAGAGTTAAACATGCTCAAGGTGTTAGGAGTCATGGGAATCAGAACATTCCTGAGTGGCAGTAAACTGAGCCTACTCTCCCCTCTCCAGAGTCTATCAGAACAAAAATGCTACAGCAAGGCCAGTGACCATTGTATACTCTGCTTTTTTTAGGGAGATTTTGCAGCTGCGGCTGCCAACCTGCAAACCTGCCTATCTGTTTTGGGCCGGGCACTGCCCACCTCTCGCCTGGACCTGGCCTGCAGCCTCTCCTGGAATGTGATCCGCTACAGCCTGCAGAAGCTGCGGCTGGTGCGCTGGCTGCTCAAGAAGGTCTTCCAGCGCTGGCGGGCCACACAAGCCAATGCAGCAGGCTTTGAAGACGAAGCTAAGAGCAGCGCTCGGGATGCAGCCCTGGCCTATCACAGGCTGCACCAGCTGCACATCACAGGTTAGTGGCAGCTGCAGCTACCTGACCCCTGAAAGGTACCCAGGCCATCTCCTCCTTATTTTGATTTGCCATTTGGTTTGCCAGGACTTCACCATGGTTGAAGCCCCTTTTACACTTTTTTAAACCAGCCTTTCACCTGTGTTTATAGCAGTACAGTTCACCATTTCTTCTAAGATGCACTTTTTTTTTAATAGTAATGTCTCTATATGTCCTGTGCAAAGGGACAGGTGGTGGATTATTCAGCAATGATAGTTCATAGTAAAACTTAAAATGATGACAGCATAGATTTGGTGAAATACAAACCTTTATTTCATTCAGTAATCTTCTGCTATAATAGAAAGGCAGACAGGTCATTGGATGGATGACAGTTCACTGTATGTGTTAGATTCAGCAGAAGGGGCACATTTTCTCTGAGAGAGGGGGGATATCCATTGGGGCGGGATTCAAGAAAGGTTTTTCTGGGAAGGGGAAGGTCAAGCCTTGGCTTCCTGCAGAAGGATACACAGAGGCAGCAGCTCCACAGATATTCAGATATCCTCCAAAGGAGAAACCCCGCCTCTGCACATCTTCATAGCCATAGCGTGAGCCTAGCATGGTGAAGCTAATGGAGCTGGGACCCCAAAAGCAGGACAGTGCACAGACTGGGAAAGATCTAATAGAAAAGGCCGAAGGATGGGTGCCAGGGCTCTCGTAGTATGCCCATACGATCCCGTGAAAGGTGTGAGGAAATAATGACTCAATCAGACTGGTACCTCTGCATTTGAAGAGGTTTCCTCTGGTGGCAGACAGAGACTGGGAAAAAGAGCAGTGAGGCTACAGTCAGGGAGCAAATAGGAGCTGATGCAGCCAGAAGACGAGAAATGCCTCCAAGCCAGATAGGGAGAAAAAAGAGTGAGTAGAATCAAATTGACAGGGCTTGGAGATGTGATAGGTAAAGAAAAAAACGCTGACTAAGATGATTCTCTGGCTTGGTTTGGGAGTCTTGTTGGCAGTGGTACCACTGGCATGGGTGAAGGAAATAAGAGGAGTTTTCCCAAGAAAGGCTGATAAACTGTTTTGGACACTTGACTGACTGTAGGACATGGAGGGGAAATAGTCATTAGGTAACTGGACTTGTGAGAGACTGTCAAGTAGTCTGCAGCTTCCATACTGCATTCCTCCTTCCTCCTCTACTTCTTCCTGCTGCCAAAAGAAAGCCTGGAGCCTTACGGGAGAAGCACATGCACCAGGCCAGTACAGAATGAATTACGAATGATGAGAGCTTCTCATGCTGATATGGAGAAACAGCCCAGGGGAAGAACCCTCTGCTGAGGACCTCAGCACAGGCCCGGTTGGTCAATCCTGAAACAAAGAGCCTGCTTGCCCTTGTAGTGAGCAAGCAACAGTATGAAAGCCTTTAGATAGTTAAGCTGCACCCTTGGTGTATGCAGGGGCACTTGGTCCCCTGACCTCAGTATTGCCCCCAAAATGGACTACTGTGTAGCTTTCTTTAGGGAGAGCATTGAAAGTTTTTCCTGGCCCTCTACCTATGACCCAACACATGTCAAGGTTCATTGCTCAGTCTTGTTATTTTCCTGTCTATGGGATGTTTAATTCTATATGGATCATACATATAAATTCAGCTCCATTTGGGGCTTACGGGTTTTGAGTATGTTTTCCATTACCTCCCTGAAGTGCTTGGCCATGCTGCTGACACTTTTGAGTCCTGTACAAGGATCAGCAGTCCTGACCACTCCCATTCTACAGAGCCTTGTGGCATGCCCTGGCCGTGCTGTGAGGGACTACAGACAGGACCGCATATCTTGTATGATACAGAACCTGGGGTCAAATCCGAGACTGTCTTCTCACAGCAGTCGCCTTCTTTCTGTGCTGCGTACACTGTAGCAGATTACCAGGAAAGCAGGAGATCTATCCACATTAGTGTCTTTCTGTCTGCCCTAGGGAAGCTTCCAGCGGGATCTGCCTGTTCAGATGTGCACATGGCTTTGTGCGCTGTAAACCTGGCTGAGTGTGCTGAGGAGAAAATCCCACCAAGCACTCTGGTTGAGATCCACCTGACAGCCGCCATGGGGCTCAAGACCTGGTGTGGAGGCAAGCTGGGCTTCCTGGCTGTGAGTACCTACCTGTCCATTACTTCCACACCACTGTTGAGCGCCTTCCGCAGCCAGGAGCTAAAAATCAGTGTGGGCCCCATCCTCAGGTGCCCCACCATTCCACGAATTCTTACAGCAGTAAATAAAACCAATCAAGATCCTCTCCTCTTGGCTCTAAATCTTTACAAGGACATTTTGTTGCCCTAAAGTAAGAAGATTGGTTCAGAGATGTAATGAGACTGTTCATAGGGATTGATATGCAATTATTCCTTCTTGGAGTTTGTGATAATATATCCTATTTTTTTTTAATTTACTCAGAAGTATTTATTGGGCACCTTGTATATAACACAGCATTGTAGATCTAGAAGTAAAACCAGTGCTAGCCAGGTGCCAGGAGCTCACTCACTCCTAGTCAGTCAAGAGTTTGAGGTCTAAGGGGAGAGAGGGGGGAGGCTGGGAAGGGATGTGAAGGATAAACAAAGGAGGAGGCTGCAATGCAATTTCTTACATTGGTAAGAAATGTACGCATTATCCTGCCCATGTAATTGTAACCCCTCTGTACAGTATGTTCACAAATAAAATAAAATAAATTTAATTAAAAAAAAAAGAGTTTGAGGTCTAAGGATCACAGTTTGAAGCCAGCCCAAGCAGGAAAGACCATGAGACTCTTTTCTCCAACTCACTACCAAAAAGCTAGAAGTGTATGTGTAGCTTAAGTAGTATAGTGCTAGTCAAGCAAAAATAGCTCAGGTACAGTGCCTAGGCCCTGAGTTCAAGCCCCAGGACTGAGGAGGGGAAAAGGGAATGAAGGAAGGAAACCAGTGCTTATCTGCAAAGAGCTCAGGTCAGACCTGCATTGGGACATGAGGTTAAGAAGTGCTTCCTGGACCTAGCTACTCAGGAGGCTGAGATCTGAGGATTGCGTTTCAAAGCCAACCCAGGCAGGAAAGTCTGTGAGACTCTTATCTCCAATAAACCACTAGAAAACCAGAAGTGGCACTGTGGCTCAAGTGGTAGAGTGTTCGCCTTGAGCTGAAGAGCTGAGGGACAGCGCCCAGGCCCAGAGTTCAAGCCCCACAACTGACCAAAAAAAAAAAGAAGTGCTTCCTGGACTGGGAAAGTGGCTCAGTAATAGAGTGCTTGCCTTGCATACATGAGGCCCTGGGTTTGATTCCTTAGCACCATATAAGCAGAAAAAAATCAGGAAGTGGCACTGTGGCTCAAGTGGTAGGGCACTAGTCTTGAGCTGAAGAGCTGAGGGCAGCGCCTACGCCCAGAGCTCAGCCCCATGACCAAAAAAAAAAAGAAGTGCTTCCTTTGCATCCGGCCAGGCACTAGCCTGGGGCACTAAGACTAATTCTTGGTTATCATCTAGTTATCATCTAGTTATCATCTTGTTCACAGTATCTGCTGACTGTTTACTTTCTCTTACTCTAACCAAAACAGACACTTTTTACCCAGTGTCCCACTTTGCATAGACTGCTGAACACATTAGGTATATTCAAAGTGGAATTATCACATCTCCTTCTATTTCCATTTCTCATTTATGGGAGCGATAAGCAGAGAACAAAAAGGAGTGTGCAGGATGCTAACATTTGCAAAGTGAATTGGGATGGTCTAGATGACAAAAGGCTCAAGGAAATAGTGTTTTTTCTGTGGCCTTAGATAAGACATCTATGCTTTTATTCTGTTAGCCTACTTATTAAATACCTATTGTGGTCCAGGCACTTCCAGAGTGGGTAGTACAGGGAAGCATACGGTCTGGTAGAAATCCAGACAGGAGCCTGGGCTTTCAAAGTACAGTGTTTATAGAGAAAAAAATGTGCAGGGGCTGGGAAGGTGGTTCAGTGGTAGAGCGCTTACCTTGCATGCTCAAGGCCCTGGGTTCGATTCCTCAGCACCACATAAGCAGGAAAAAAAA